TGCTCGACTTGCTTTTCTCTGCCTTTTTGGTATGATAATAGGCTTTTTAGTGTTTCTTTCTCCTTCTCTCTCATGGTTGGTTCTGCTGATTGTAGGTCCGCAGCTCGTACACTCAGATCATTATGTACGGCTCTTAAACTGTGGTACGTGAAGTCGTAGAAGTTTCTTCTCACTAATTCATCGTACTTACAAGCTTCACCCGTCATGCCAGTGACTTTAGTGTAAAGTTCTTGAAGGGTTCTACTATGTCTGTTGATTAAATCCAACTTGTTGGGGATTGGGAAACATTCTTCTTTCAGCTCGCCTATTTCAAGATTAGATATTATATTTGAGAGCTTTTCTTGTAAACGCTCGAGCTCCTCGGAAATGTCGAAATCTTTGATTCCTGATGTTTTCAAGATCTTCGTTCCCAGTTCAGGTGCGTTTACTGAAATCTGGATGGTTGCATTAACAGAATTCTTCAGTTCCTTACAAGAAAAGAAATAAACAAACAAGTATAACACACTGAGTTTCATCTTTGTCACTCGTTTAGTTACTCCGTCCTAACATTTTTGCATATATGGCGAGATAGCTAGTCAAAATTTTAAGTTGAATTAACCTATTTTAAAATATCTTACAGCACGAAATATAACACGTACTCCTGTGCTAATAATGTAATTGCCAGATACTTTCAAAGAGCTAGGTTAAAGTTATTACTTCCACTTTTGCACGCTTTCTCCCTTGGCTGTAAATCATCGCGCAGAACCGACGAAGCGGTAAATTTAAAAGCGAACGCGCTTTGAAAAGGTCAGAATAAGAGAAGAAAGGCCCAAATTGGCCAAGTTGGGTTGACAGAAATCGCTTTACTGATTTTCTGAGGTTCTGACGAAGAATTCGCAAACGGCTCTTAAAAAAGTAAGACTTCGTTTCAGGCTCAAATTGTAGTTTAAGTTAAACTACAATTTGAGCCTGAAACGATTTATTAAGTGTAAGGAATATCCATTTGCGGTTGAAAACTGACAGAAAAACTGGACCTTTTTAGTCTGGAGGCCGTTTCAGCATCGAATCATTGAAACTTCAAACTGCTTTGCGATATTCGGCATATGGCAGCGCTTGAGTGCGAAACCCAAACATTAGAGCCTCCTCGCAGGCTAGCAATATATTTAAAAGGCATAGGCCACGGACACATATATCAGCCGCATTTCAAATAAAGGTTTTGCACGGCAGCCATGTTGCATGGCAGAAACAATAGATTCTTGCATGGTAGGAGCAATAGATTCTTTTTCCTATGGGAAAAAATGTTCTTTCGAGTGCAAACATTTTCTTTGTTCCTCCCATGCAACATGTCTGCCGTGCAAAACCTCTATTTGGAGTTTTGAATATCTTCCGGTCCAGCACGTTGGGTGGGATTAGTCTCCCTGCTGTCCGATCCTTTTACTGTCCATGGAAATGACTTTTTTTTTACTAAATTTCTTCTGCTCTAACAACGAAGTGGATTAGCAGTCACTTGGGCTTGGACAAGTTCTCACGGAAAGGACAAAAGTTGAACTAAAAACCCCTCTTGCGATCTGTTCTCTATTTTCGTTTATATAATTAAACCCCGCCATCTCGAAGCGACATAACGAGAGTTTGAAAACGAAAAAAACATTTTACTATAACATGAGGCAAATCTCGTCATTGCCTTTTTGCCTAGTTTGTTATAATCAATTCCATGTACATTTTAGTAATACCTTAAAAATAGTCTCAAATTCGTTTTCTTCACTCTCCCATAAAAGGAACTTCTTCTTTTCAGTGCTGTCTCTGACCAGCATGATCTGAGTCTGTGTAAAAAAAAAAATATCGCACAGTAAATGAGCCCTGCTAAAACATTTAGGACGGGAACTAACACAAGCATCCCCCTCCTCACCACCACCATTCCCCCACCTCCTCCTCGACCGGAGACTTCACAAACTCTTGAACAAACTATTGTCAGTATCTGTGAGGCAGATGTTTTAACCAGCTTCTAGATTACTTCTGTAATCATTCCATTCCTGTAGGCCTGGCTTCTCTTTAGGTTACCTCACTATTACCACCACTATATTTTTTTTCAAAATTGTATTTCGTAACAGTTCCGTTAGAACGGTTTTACTTGAACGGTCGAAAGCAATTTGCATATTGCTTTAGTAATTCAGGTTGCATTATTACAATAAACGATTTGATTTAGTCTACAAAACTCGCCTCACATTACATAATTCAATCAGAAGTAAAACCAAAAACAATCATCAGCCGACGTTCGCACACGTTTTCCCGTGTTTTGCTTCGGCTGGATGTATTTATTTCGAGTTTTGATTGGTCATCTTGATTTGGTTTTCGTTTTACGACACTCAATTGAAAACCGCTCTTCAACGCTTAGAGATTGATTTAAAAATAGAACTTGCGCTACTTTTTCATCCAATCAGTGGTAAAACCAAAACCAATCGTGATTCGCTCACATGATTTCCC